ATCATCATACTCATCATCATGACCATCATCATCATCATCATCATGCTCGGTGGTTTTTTTTGGTGGCTGGGACCAAAATTAAGGGTACCTTTTTGGGGGTCCCCATAATAAGGATTGTAGTATATATTGGGGTCTATATTGGGGTCCCCCTATTTTGGGAAACTACCAGATGTCACAGGGTGGCACGCCCTAGACGGCGAGGTCTGCTGTCAGGCGCCTCAATCTCTTTGCGAGATTCGGCTTTGATTAAGCTTTTCGCGCCGCTCTTGGCATGCGAGTCATGCAGGCAGTTTGTATGGTCAGCACATCTTTGGCAAGCCAGTGTGGATGGCTCAGAGAGAATGGGTAAAAAGAGGGTTATTATATTACATAGTGCTATGTGGCGTTATGTAGGGGTCTATAGCAGTGGTGATATGCTGAACAGTATGTGGGACCCCTCGCTTTCAGTGAGAATTTGCGATTCCGAGGCTGCATGCTCCTCGTGCGCAGTTGTCTTCTCAAAGCGTCCTAGCCTGAGGAATTTCTAGCCCATGTATAGCTACCGCAGGGTGGAGCTGCTTTGCCACTGCAAGTTCCTGTAAGGGAGTGATTCAGCATGTGCGATGGGACCTGTCAGCAGCTGCTGGATGGAATTGGAGCTTTAGCCAGACTAAATGTGCGGGAAGCCTAGGCTGGGGACTCCTGCCAGCAGGCCGAAGATACAAAGGGCAACAGTGTCCCAACCCTTCATGGGATGGCACTGATGGAAAGTTTCGCCTCACTGACAGCCAGGGCCCGAGTGTGGATGGGTAGGACCGATTCAGGTGAGCGCATCTGGTGTCTCACGCAGATACAGCCATCTCATCAGAGCTGCATATGCTAGAGGGAGATAGAGCGATGCCACAGCCGTAGGGATTTCCCGCCACAGTTGCAATATCCAAAGTTATAGTATAGACTTGGAATCCCCCTCCCGTGTAGTCTGAGCAATAGGCCGCGGACATATTGCCTGCAGCTGCGGCCGAAAGCTCAGAATCATTTCAAAGCTCCAAGGCGTGACAAGCGGAATGTAAGGCCCAAAAGGATTACTAAGATTATTGTACTAATGGAGAATAAGATCGAGAAATTGAACAACTACGCGGCTGGCGTAAGCAGCGGCAATGGGAAGGAAAGCAAATCTTCATAACTGTCATAAGACCACCTGCGAGGCCCTGCAGCAAGGTATGTTGCGAGAAAGGAGCCATGCTTCCAAGAAGGGCTCCAGCGCAGCGAACGTCAGTGGCCAGTCAGATCCCATGAGGTTGATATGAGGAAAAGGTCATATTTCAGTGCGTAAGCCCAAGAGGGGGTGCGGCGTATGTTGCTACTCCCAGGTTAAAGTGCAGAGACCCAAGAGAGTACTTGCACTTGCACTTGCGCACAATTTCTGAGGCTTGTGTGGCCTGGCATCGAATTGTCGAGTCACCCGACTTATGGCACTTGGCCACTCCGCGCCTGCGCCTGTGGCCAAGTCAGGCAGGCAGTTGTCGCAGAGTTAACAGAAACTCTGTATTATCCCCATTGGGCCTACATAGTCCATAGGACTTGACCCGTACTGATGGCGATACGGCTTATACCCCCTGTAGTAAGCAACATGTCTGTGCAAGTGGTTCAGTCTCGAATCCTGGCTATGTCCTCAAAGGCATTAGGCAGTTGGAATATGACGAAACAGTATGGGGTCCCTTCTCGGTGGGTTCATAGTCATATGGGCGCCCATAATATGACGGACTATTGGGTATACTAGGTGGTTGGATACTGCTGAAGCACTAGTTAGGTCGATCCAGAATGGCAGCATTCACGGAGGGAAGCGTACATGCAAGCTGTCTACAACTTGAGCGTTGCCAATCCTAAACCCCAAAGCCCTTGCACCCGTTAAACCGCCCCTAAACTATATAAACGTAAACCCTAAACCCTATAAACCCTTGCACCTAAGCCCTATAAACCCTCTAAACCCATACACCTAAACCCTACAAGCCCCAGATGTACACCAAGGCTTGACTGAAAGAATCATCTGGAAGCAGGAGATTGCCAAGCGTCGGTCCTTTGGCCAAATCTCACTGTCTAGAGCTTTCTTCTACAGTACGTATAGTAAGTATAGTGCGTTGCCATTCTATTGTGGGTTGTTCTGGGAGACAGTCACTACAATCTTGGGGAACAATCGTCTAGGCAAGCTCCTCATTCTGGGCAGCCGCAGCCCTGGTGCTTAACTGACCGCCGTTCCTGAGGTCCCGAGGAACTGTGTGGCATGGAGTCCTTCTGGGTGCCCGCAAGCAGGACGCCAAAGCAATTCTTGTTAATTTGTGGCCGAGAGTTGCTGCAGCATCGACTGTAGCTGTCAGGAAGTGGTCGTTCGTTGCATTCATCTTTGGTGCGGGCCCATGTCAGATGAATGAGACCGGTGTATGAGCATCCACCGACATCTCGATTTGCAGC